CCGCTGACTTTATATCCATAACGTCATTCAATGAATGGCATGAAGGAACCCAAATAGAGCCTGCAGTGCCTCACCAAACAGAAATGTTCACTTACATGGATTACAAGCCAGAAGGGTCTCACTTTTATATAAACCTAACACGCTGGTACGTGAATGAAATGGTTAAACGCAAAAATATGCAGTGAAATCTTGAATGTGAATCTTCTTGGTGAATTTGTCACTGGTAAGATCCACATGTAACAGACTTGTGTTAGTCATTCAGTCTTAGACTATTTTTAAAAGTTATTAAAATTTGTATGCTGTTTGGTATGGATCTACCTTCGATTAGTCTTATCTCACACTCTTTTGACTACAAAGTTAGGAGTAAAGCAAGCGAGCTTTGTATATCAAATTGCTATGTCTACTATATAAAAATCCATCCTGCCCAAATAACCCATAATGTGTGATACTTCCAAAGCAGTGAGGCTTTCAGTTCTATTTGTACGCACTTTCTCACTTGTTGCCTTACCAGTGTTATTCTTTTCATTAATCCTGCCCTCTAATTTTTACAACAATATTGTGATATTACCTTCTTTACTAGCATATCAATCTATTATACATTCCTTCTAGATTTAAAGCAAAGTGTCTGTGATGCCTGGGCCTAAATACAGTGCCAAAAACAACAATTTGCAGCAGAACTAATGTCATACTTTTAACTATTATTAATTTATCTATAAGTGTTCTTTATACACCAGTAATGGTAGTTTTCATTTATTTGCATGAACTCTAAAACTTTATCCACTTTACTGCTTTAGCTACCTCATGCACATGTTTCCACTCATGTGAGCTGTACTGAATATTTGACTCCTCACTCTTATTTATTGCTATAATTACAGTAGGTCAACATGTGTTGTGTAAATCCCATCAGCTTGTGGCTGTGATGCTTCATGAATTTGTTGTTAATGTGAGCCTTTAAAATATTTCTATTTTCCTGACTGTGATTTGTAGCTAGTACAAAATGTTTATTGAATAGATCTGTCCTTTTTTCTTTACTACCCAGGGGAAGTAAATTGAATATTACATTAGCACTAGAGCTTCCTTAAATGTTATGTATGAATGCAGTGCATTGTGCACACACACAGCTTACACCTACTACAGCAAACTGATTTGAAATGATGATTTTCTCTGATGTGCTGGCCAAATATTTACATTTTGGACTCAATTTTCATTTTATTAACTTCTGTGTAGTAAATATCCTTTGTTAATTTCCTTATGCTACATGATAATTAAATCATTTTGTAGAAGGAACATTAAAGAGTTCATTACTTTTCAGACACGCCAGAAGATTTCACACATTCAAATCATGTACAACCCATAAAATTTTGAAAACAGAAGTACACATTAGACGCATACGTGTTCTCCATATCCTGCTCTGCACAGCCCAGTATGTTGTCACTGTCAACTTCATTTACAACAAAAAGTTTCAATAAAATTTAACTTTACATTATCAAAACTGTAAACTCCCTAAACACAGCAAGAGTAATCCATGGTTCAATATCCATGGTTCAATAAAAGAATTCTAATATCTTAACATTAACTTATCAGCAACAAAATTCGATTGGAGAAAGGAAGAACACCAGTGCTTGTGATCCAGGATTTTAATAGCAAATTTTGGTTACAATGAAAGATTCCACACCTAGAGCATCATGGAGATGGAGATGCATAGTTTATTGACAATTTAGTGTGCATTATCAATATGTATCTAAAGCAAATGTGAAATATAATTGAACTCTCATTTAATTTTGCACACTAGGCAAAAGTCTCTTGATAAGTATTTGAAAAATGTAAAATTTGTAGCATGGCATGCCAACAAGACATGTGATTTTGATAGAAAAATATGCGTAAGGAAGAAAACAAGCACAAATGGGTAGTGCTTCAAACATAAGAAGGTGAATAGGTAGAAAGTCTTGAAAAAATTTAAATCAAAATCGATTTAGAAAAGTGTCATGAATTAATTAAGAGGTCTCATCACATTAGTACTTGATTCAGTCTAATATTGTATCATGTTTTCCCTAAGCAAAAGGCACATTTGACATGAGAAAATGATTACAGTACAGCTTAGGGTCATGAAAGACATACAGCTCTTAAATGCCCAGATAAGATTAGTGCAAGAACATTTTCCTTTAGGTTTTAAAGGAACCCCCAAAACATTTCTTTTTGGAGTGGGGTTAAGAATCCTTTACCATTAATTTAAATTAGAAACAATTTTACAATACAATTAAGACACAGTGGGGTTCTCAAGACAGAGGGCCTAATACAACCTTGAGTAATAGGAAGAGTATCTAGAACTCTACAACTCTAGTTAGATCCTACTGGAATTATTCTGAGACAAATTCCCCAAAATGGCGATTGTTAATAACTTGGCAGACTTTAAATACAATGATATTGTTAGAAAGCTGAAAATAGAAATGCAGAAAAAAAAGGTTAGAGAATATCAAATTTTTAAAAAAAGACCAAAGAAGACCGCTGACTTTATATCCATAACGTCATTCAATGAATGGCATGAAGGAACCCAAATAGAGCCTGCAGTGCCTCACCAAACAGAAATGTTCACTTAC